AAAAAAAAAAATGTCCCTGTGGAAGAAAAGCAAAGTAAGGGAATAGGTCAAATACTAAAAAGATTTGAAATTTCATACTGAAAGAGCACAAAGCGTATGTGAAAATATTAACCTAAAATGACCAACTCTAAGATAAAGTCTAGTAAAAATCACTGGCATTTAAAGGAAAAAAATCCTCTTGGCGCTTAGGCAAAATCAGCACATTATTTACAAGGAAAACATAATTAGGCAATTACTAGCTTTTCAATAGCAATGCTTTATGCCAGAAGAAAATGTAGAAACATAGTCAAGATACTCAAGGAAAGAAAATGTGAGTCAAGGATTTTATATCTGGTAAAACTGACTTTCAAGTTTATCAATATACAAGACATTAAAACAAAAAATAAAAAGATAAAAAGAATTTTTTCTTGTAATATTAAACTTCCCCCCATACCTAACAAAGGAAGACTGAAAATTCTTTTAAAAAGAAAGGAAAGAAATGCTTTGAAAGAATACATAAAACATTAAAATAGCACCAATCCATGTGAAGAAAAAGTCAAGCACTGAATTAATCTACACTGAAGTGGGAAATAAGCGATTGTTTAAGAAAATACTGATGTTTAGGGTCTACTCTTTAACTGTGTTCAATACAAACAAAATTTTGTTCAAGATAAACATTTCACCTTTTATTGTGTTAATTTAATTTTTTGGATTTTCATAGAGTGTATTATGTTGTGATGCCCTTGGGATGCTACTGATCTGTAAGGTGATTTGCTCCTACAGCAGCGAAGCCACCGGGCCTTTCGAGTTCTCCTGTCTATGTCTATATTAGTCACCTCTCTCCTCCCTGTCAGCTGCCAGTCTGACTGGCTTCTGGATGCCTGCCTTTCTGATCCTCCCCACACTGTGCTATCTATTCAGGGATGGGAAACCAGATAGCCAAGTTTGTTAAAATCATGTGAAATGTATTACTGAGTAAAGCAAGTAAGAATCTCTACTAAAGTGCAAACTGCAGGCTTCACAGCTCAGGGGCCTTTTTCCTCTGTGGAAGGTTAAGGTTGTTAGAAGTCTATTTTTCTGAAGTGTTAAAACTGTTTAGTGATTAAGTCTAAATTACAAATTATAGTAACCAGCAGTAAATGTTTATAAACAATAAAACTCAGAAGATAAAACTACTCATAAAGGAGAATAACTACAATGAGAACACTTGATTTTTTCCTTAAACTAAAAGAACTTCTAATGTTCCCCCTTCAGTTATGTATCTTATGCTACATGTTATTATTTGTTTATTAATTCTTCTTACCAAGAGTATCTTTAATGAGGATTTCAAGCTTCTGGCCCATGTTGGGTCCTCTCTCCTCTCTCGGATTCTGTACCCGGTTTACAATCTCTTGCTTGATAGAGTTGATTACAAACAATAAATTATCTGTAAGACAGAACAAAACACTTGGAACATGTCACTAACATGGAAGAATTTCTTTTTGATTATGTAATAACAGATAATTAAAAATGGAGAACATGTAAGAACATTAAGCAGTGATGGTTATATGCTTTCTATCCAAAGAGACTAATTTCGAATGATGTGGCTTTTTTTTCTTTTCTAAAATTGCTTGTTTCCAGAAATGTGTTTTGTTTTTTTTTTTTACACCTTAAGATCACTGAGTATGATGTGGCACTTCTGATAACACACTGTAGCTGGGCAGAGTGGTGTGCACCTGTAATCCCAGCTACTCAGGAGGCTGAAGCGGGAGGATCACTTGAGGCCAGGAGTTTGAGGTAGTCGTATGCTAGGAACACACCTATAAATAGCCACTGCACCCCAACCTGGGGAACACAGAAATGCCAATCTCTAATTTTAAAAAGCAATTAAAAAAAAAAAAGATAACACATTGTTGACATACACCAATGTCCACTACCCTGTAAGCAATCTGTCTTAGAACTAGTCTTCACTGCTTTAAGACTGATAGTGCCTACTATATCAAAGCACAGGACCTTAGTAAATGTTTATTAAATAAATCAAACTAAGTCGTTCAAAGACAAGAGCTTTGAAAACAAATTTTCCTACCTTAACAAGCTTAAAAACAAACAAACAAAAAAAGATTAAAGTTAACCTAAATTAGATAGGAGGGCAACAATAAAAAGTATAAATCAGCCGGGCGCGGTGGCTCATGCCTGTAATCCTAGTTCTCTGGGAGGCC